CCTGTTCTTCCTCCTTCCCCTCCTCCTCCTCCCCCTCTTTCCCCTTCCTCCTCCTGCTCCCCTTCTTCCTCCTCTCACTCTCTCCCTTCCTCCTCCTTCTCCTTCCTCCGCCCTCCCCTTTCCTCCTACTTCTTCCTCCTCTTCCTCCCCCTCTCCCTTTTTCTCCTCCTCCCTCTATTTCCCCTTCCTCCTCCTCCTCTCCCCCTCTTCCTTCTTCTCCTCCTCTCCCCCTTCCTTCCCTATCCCTCTTCCCCCTTCCTCCTCCTCCCACTCTCCCCCGTTCCTCCCCCTTCCCTGTAGCCCTTCCTCATCCCCCTCCTCTTCCTCTTCTTCTCCCCTCCTCCTCCCCCTCACCTCCTACTCATCCTCCTTCCTCCTCCCCCTCCTCCTTCTCCTCTTTTCCTTCTTCTCTTCCTCTTTCTTCTTCCCCTTCCTCTTCCACCTTCCCCCTATCCTTCTTCCCCCACTCTCTCCCTCTTCCCTTCCTGCTTCTCCTCCTCCTCCTATTGCTCCCCCCTCCTTCTCTTCTTCCATCTTCTTATTTTCTTCTTCATAGTCTTTTCGTGCCCGTCCACTTACTTGAACTCAGGGCCTGGGTATTGTCCCTGAACTCATTTTGCTCAAACCAGTTCTCTACCACATGAGCTACCGCTCCATTTCTGGCCTTTTTAGTAATAATAGTCTCATAAATTTTTCTGCCCAGGCTGGCTTCGAATCAGAATGCCCAGATTTGCAGCCTCTTGAGTAGCTAGGATTACAGGCGTGAGCCATCTGTGCCTATCCAGAAATGTAGTATTTTTGAACATTAACAGAGATGACATGAACTAAAGTTTGAATTATCTATTTTTCCTGTATCTTTGTGGCTGAATACAGGTCCTCATGCTTGGTAGCCAGGCACTTCAACTATACATATTCCACTCCCAAAAGGTAGTCAATGTTCATAATCAAAACAATTTTGACTTGTATCAGTAAACCTACAAGTGAAATTACCTTAAAACACATACAAGTTGAACATTAATAACTACCAGTCTGATGTTTTTATTTCATAATAATATATGTTATTATTATAACTTATGAACATAATCAAGCCATATCATGGTCTGTTCTTCAGAATGAACTTATGTTCATTCAGACATCCCATTCAGATATGGGATGTCTGAATGAACATAAGTGCTCTTGTCTTACCACCTCTCAAAGTCAGCCTGCAATCACAAATTTGAAAGTGTTTAAAATCAGTATTCATAATTCAAATTTATTCAAAGCTTCTGAAAACATTTCTGTCTCTCATTCTTCTTTACCATATTTTCATACAATGCTCCATGCGAGTCGTGTAAGATTAGTTGCATCAGTGAAAGTTCTGAGCAATGATTCCTTTAGAAACCACTTCATAAATATAAATCACTCTTTTAGGTTGAGAGCCTATGTTTTGCGTTTAAATTATGAATTACACATCAGCATTTTATAAAGCATAAACTAGTTCTAGATTAAAAAGTTACACGTGAACCCAAATACCATTATCCATGTTTGGTTCTGTTCTGTTTTCATTTGTTTCCTATTTTCTTTTCACTATGTGATTGTATTTATTAATGTATAATTATAAAATAGATATTTATATATTCATTACCTTGCTTATGAAATAAAATCTTATCCATGTCATTAAAGAACTTGTTAATTCTTCTGCCCTCACTCACAAGACTGTCATATTTTTCCATTTATTTTCTTGCGAGTCATACTCTGTTCCTAAAAGATTGGTGTGGATCCTAGCAGAACTTCCTATCATTCAGATGTGCTTATTTTTTTCTGTAATAATAATATACCTATGCAAACTTAGTACCAGCACAGAGTAATATAAACTGACTTATGATAGAGATGTTGGAAATTGATGACTCCCACACATTTTCAATTGGGACTTTTGTAAAAAGAAAACAAAATATTTGTGCATGCAAATATGTAAGTTACTATGAACTATTATTTTTTTTCTGAGAAGTGCGATCAGAGAAAGAGGTAGAAAGGTGAACTTTGTTCTTATTCAAAGAGATCTGAGGCAAATCAGCCCACTTTTTTTTAAATCAGGGAAATGTCAACTAGCCTTGGGCTTGTTTCCCTACATTATATATACTTGGATATAAAAAATACACTTACATAAACAAATTAAAAAACAAGGCAAAAGGACAAGAAAACAAAAATAGCAACAAGGGCAACTAAAAATGTCTCTTGCGTTCATTTCTTGCAGCTCATTGCATAGAATATTATTTTATGCGATCATCTACACAGAGCTACTATATAAATCCTCCTACATAAATCCTCCTGTCTCAGTTGGTGAATGTGTAGAGTTCTATATAATTTTTCATTTCCTAGTGTGTATGCATATATATGTTTTAATCATTCAGTGTGTTTACTTGTTTGTTTGTATTTAATAGGGTGAGGGAGGGCACAGAAAAAGTTGAATGAAGGTGAACAAATATAACAGTAATACTCACTAGACATTATGTGGAAAATGAACTGTATGTCTTGTGGGTGGGGACAGGAGGTAAGAACCAGGAGACAGTGATGGATGGGGAGACATGGTTCAAAAAGAATTTTACTTATGACTCTTTACTTGATTCATGCAACTGAACCCCCTCTGTATATCAACTCTATAAAAATAATAAATATTTTTAAAAACAAAATAATTACATTTATGGCATGCAGAATTAGTAAGAATTTAATGTTCAACAGGGCAAACAGCAGAATGACTGCCATCCGGGAAGAGTTTAACAAACAGGAACTGTCATGATTTGTATGGCTGATATCTCTAGTTTGAAAATTTTCTGGTTCAAAGCAACTAGTAAAATGGTAAGCAGTCCTAATTTGATTGTTCTTCCCATTTTACCTCAAGGCAATTTTTAGTTTTTTTAATTTTGATTTTCTATGCTAAATTTTTGTGATATCCGATTTTAAGTCTTGTTTTCTTACAATCCATGATTCTGTGAAAATATTGACTTTGTAGTATCTTTCAGATATGATCTACCCAAGAGGCCTGCTAAGTCAAAACTATTATTATAAAAGTGCTCAGATATCATTCACATTTTCTTTCTCATTCTTATATTCAGAGTGCAGTTTTTCACAGGCTACCAAAAGTATAATACATGTGAGAAGTTACAACTCCTCAGAGTAGTATTAGATATAGAAATCCAACACTACTGTTAAGCCCTAGCTAAAAGATTTGGAATGAGAGTTGTCTAATTATTATTGAAAATGTATCTTTAAAATATAATATGATATTCATGGCAAAATGTAGTAGGCTTAATATAGTTCACTTTCTTTCCTTGTTTCTTTCCTTCATTTCTTCCTTCTTTTCTTCCTTCATTCCTACCTTCCTTCTTGCTTTCTTTCCTTTTCTTTCCCTCTCTTTCTTTCTTTCTTCTCTTTCTCTTTCCTTCTTTCTTTCTCTCTTCCTCTGTCCCTCTTTCCCTCCCTCCCTCCTTCCTTCCCTCCTCCCTCCTTCCTTCCTTCCCTCCCTCCCTCCCTTCACTTCCTTTCTTTCTTCCCTCCTCCCTTCTTCCCTCCCTCCCTCCCTCCCTTCCTTCCTTCCTTCCTTTCTTCCTTCCTTCCTTCCGTCCTTCATTCCTTCCTTCCTTTCTTCTTTCCTTTCTCTCTTTTTCTTTCTTTCCTTTTTCCTTCCTAGTTATTGATCCCAGGGAGTTTTACATCCTAAGCACAAGATCTAACACTGAATTATACTTATAATCTCTATACATTTTTAACAATTTAATACATATTTTAATGTTTGTTTAATTTCTAATATGTAAATACTAACAAAAGTAACCAACTGCAACAAAAGTTCATTAAGCTGTAAATCTGATTTAAAACTGTAAAGGAGAACCTGGAACTAAAGTTTGAAGATCATGTAATTTTATGTTGTACTCACCCAGTGATGAATGAAAGACAGGCACATGTACCTTGTTGTTTCCAGGTCAATTGTTAATCTCCTGAAGTACAGTGGCTCTAGAAATACTCTATAATTTATCTTTTTTCTTGCGAGCCTTTTAGTTTATTTGCCATGTCTTTCTTTTTATACAAATGGAAAACATAAAGAATTACTTCCAGTAATTCTTCCAATAAAAGTACTACCCAGAAGATTTTCTAATGTTCTAATAAATGTAATGAATAAGAAAAAAATGACCACAATGTACATTCTTATCTTGGAAAGAAGCTTAAGAATAGAACAGTTCTCTGTTTATTTCATTGTAATATTACTTATAAACAGCATAATTATTTCACAGGTTTCCTCAGTAAAATTTGGTTGATGTTTAATAATTTGGTACATATTTAAATTAATCACAAAAGATGTTATGCTGATATTTTCCTCCACTGACTTAAATTGTCATTACTTTATGATTTAGAATTATAGACAATACCAAGTTATAATTCTTTGATGTGATTTGGTAATTAAGGATATTAAGTAAGTTTTGGTGTTGTGCAAAATCTTCACATTATGTTATGTATTTTAATGTGCAGTGTTTCTACATATGAGAAATTCTTGTTTTCATCTACAGAATACTAGACAGTATTCATTGCAATTTGTATCTTGAATAACTCAACACGGATAGATTTTTGGCTCATGAATGTTTTCAATCTTTTTCTCTTTATTTGGAACCCAAAATGTATTTGTAAACAAAGTAAAATCATGTCATACACATCAGTAGTGCCTTTATATCAACTCAAACTAAAGTATGCTGTGCTCATGAAACAAGACCTGCATTTAGTTACCAGTAACACACACACACACACACACACACAAGCACACATACACTCACACATATAGGCGTTATTTATCCGTAAGTAGAGTCTCTCAGACTAGATATATTGGGAAATATTGATATTATTTTATAACAGTACTTTTGAGTGAATAACATGAGTGAATAACTCATCAACATAAACACTTGTTATTAAGTTGGATTTATTCATAAACTCACACTGATTATCTGGTATAAACATTAGAAAGTATTATTAATTTACATATGAAATTATATAAGTCTGTATTTAAAATGCTATATTAAATTACTTGCTTTGATTTACACTGCTTTAAGGCAGTTATCAAATCTTATTTATCTTTGAATTTTCAAAGTTTTCAAAATGTTTTGTAGTTAATGGATTCTTTAAGAAAATTTTCAATTTCAACTCCTGTTTACAACTACTTATAGATAATAATAAAGAATAAAAAGATAATTATCAATAAATGGGTAAGATATTTCCTCCTTTAACATTAATTTTTACTGGTTTAAGCAACGATCGTAAGTAGGAAAAAAATGAAAATCAGATTAGAGGATACTCTAGTTTAAGCATAAATATTGATGTGATAAGTAAAATATATCTCAGTGAGATATATTTAAGTTATAAACTCTTGTCTAAGCTAGGTTCTGATACTTTTGTCTTTTAAATGATTTCACAATATTTAATCTAATTTTAACCTGGCATTATTAAAGCCATCCTTTTTAACTTTCATTGTACAGGTGATGTATAGAAAGATTACAATTACATATGTCAGGTACATTTCTTTTTGAACAGTGTCATCCCCCCTCTCATTTTCTCACTGCCTTTTCTCTCCAACCTCTTCCTTCCCTCAAGTTGTATAGTTAATTTACAACATAATGTATAGTATCTCTGCTGAATTTGTTCACCCTTTGTCCCACTGTTTCTGTGCTTCTCCTTCCCTCCCCCAAATTCAGAAAAATTTACATAAAGGACAGAAACCAAAAAACCGCTAAATAAAAAGTTACTTCTGACAACAGAAGAGACACAAACACACAAATGTAAAAAAAAAGAATAGAGTGGAAATACATTTTTCAAAATATAAACTTTGTATATGTTACTATTCTATTTTTCAAAAATGGTAATAGAATTTTTATTGGAAGCTTTAGTCAACTAATGTTTTACTTATGTTCATGAAGTAATTATACATAATTGGTGTTTTACTGATTTCTCAAACTTATACACTATTTCTAGTCACTGTTTATACCACCAGTATATGTGTTTAATTTTAATTGTAATTATGGCATGATGGAAATCAGTTTACAGAGGTCTATGAAGCAAAATCATGTCTATTGTAAATTTTGTTTAAGAAGCAACACACTAATTTGAACATAATTATTCACAAAATAAGAAAAGTTAATATTTTTCTAAGGATATTCTTATAAATACTTATTTTTACCAAACATATTAAATAGTGATATTTTTCTAAAGTATATAACAAATAAAATCAGCAAAAAAGGATCTTTTTCATTACCAGAGAATACTAATTGAAATATACTGAAAGACTAAAAGAAGAAATAGTTAAATAAAAATGATTTTTTTTTTCAGTCATGGGGCTTGAACTTTGGCTTGGGCACTGTCCCTGAGCTCTTCATCACAAAGCGAGAGCTCAACCACTTGAGCCACAGCACCACTTTCAATTTTCTGGTGGTTAATTAGAGATAAGAGTGCCACGGAGTTTTCCTGCATAGGCTAGCTTTGTACCACAATCTCAGATCTCAGCCTCCTGAGCAGCTAGGATTACAGGTATTAGCCACCAGGCACATAAAAAATTATTTTAAGTAATACACTTCAGTGGATTTTAATTGATTTCTTTTACATTTTATTGTTGATTCAAGAATATGATTACTGAACTGAATTGAAGTAATAATATTCATGGCATTTATCAAAATGCTTAAGGAAAAATGTTTGTAAATAATAAATCTCAATGGGATTTTAATTAATATGAAGACTTCCTCTATTTTTGAGTGGCTTGAATTTTTATAAATTGTGCACTGAAAGTTATATCATGAAATAATATTTATGGCATTTTTAAAGTCAAAATATATGAGGATTTGTTTCACATGTTTTTAATTCTCTCATAACAGCATTGTGTAGACAGAGTCCATCGTTTTATAAGCACCTGGTTCATGAGGTAAAATAAACTCACACATTTTTTTCTTTTTTTGGGGGGGGGCCGGTCATGGGGCCTGAACTCTGGGCCTGGGTGCTGTCCCTCAGCATTTCAGCTCTAGGCTAGCGCTCTACCACTTGAGCCACAGTACCACTTCCAGCTTTTTTCTTTTTGCTTATGTGGTGCTCAGGAATCGAACCCAGGGCCTCAGGCATGCAAGGCAAGTGCTCTGCCACTGAGTCACCTTCCCAACCCCACATTTTTTCTTAATAACTATCAAATACAGATCTGTAGAACATGATCTCTTTGTTTAGATCTGTGACTTTCATCACAAAGATAACATGAAAAAAACTTGCTAAATTCTCATTGAGAACTTAAGTGTCACAGTCAAATTCTTTGAGCTTCTGAGACACGTGGAGGAACAAATCTGATCTTGTAGAAAAGCTGTAAGAGGTGGATATGTTTGTCAGGGATAGACTGTGAAAATGGTCTATCGCTTACTCATGGGTACTTTATTCTAAGAATTTAATAAAAATACAATGGATAAACAGTTTGAATACTCAGACTAGATTTTTTCCCCCTAGCTGTTGAGATTAAATGTGGGAAACAATAAAAATTGCAATACTAAATGGCACTGGATATCATTTACTGAGTAGTGGCTTCAGTTAAGGAACCAGTAGCAACAGTGCTTATTTTCATTTTTGAGAAAAGATTATGACATTAAGAAACTGGTCATTTTTCTTATGTTCTTTAGTGCTGGAAACTACATTTGAATCAATGTCCTTCATATTTTGTGACCCATGTCTAAGGTAATTTATTATATTCCTTTGATCAGATGATTGGCTTTATAATTATTCATTTTTTAACTTAATATGGGTTTATTATATAAATTATGTTAGCCTTGAACCTCAAGGTTCTTATCCTCCAACCAGCTAAGATTACAGGCAGGAGTCACCAGTACTTGACTTATGTACTTCTCTCCTAAAATTTAAACTATTTACTTAATCCCTGTATAGCTTTTACTAAAGAAGTATGCATTGAAATAGGCAAGATGTATTTAAATCTATTTTCATTTAGTCTAGTTGAAAATAGTAAATGCATATGATATTGAAAATAATTATATTTTGTTTTATACTGTATTTACAAGAACACTCTGTTTCAAGGAAAAATTAAGCATTATGATTAATTAGGTAGACTTTGACTTTGTTTTGACTTTATACTTTCAAAAAGCATTTCAATATACTATGATAAAAACTTTCTGGTTATATATTAATAACTAATCTGATGATAAAAATATTTAATAGCTGGTTTTTACAAGAGCTATTATAATCAAATGAATTACTAATCAAATTGAAAAGAATGAGCTAATTATTAAAATTACTGATAAATAAAAATACAAAAAGAACTGAAAAAATCTAATAAAATCAAGCAAAATTATCACAGTAATGTTAAAAAATATTGAATACAGTACCTTCTTCTCTCCATAGTATGTTAGCTACTGCAGCATGTTAAAAACAAAGAGTAGAAAGAAAAATGAATAAAGAGACATTTAGCTAAGTACTAATATAAATATCTTTCAAAGATGTCACAATCTGTGATAGAGAACATATATGTAAATGCAGTTAACAATGTCTTCAACAAGGTATTAACAAAACCAAACAGTGGAAGCTATATTAAACTCATAAATGTGTAAATAAATATATTGGACAGCATGTAAGTGTATACAAATTAACCAAAAACATGGTAGTTTCAAGGTAGAACTGACATAGTGTAATTCCTTAGAAGTAGAAAGTGAAAGTTCAACAAGCAGGTACTTGAAAGGGGCAAAGTGGGGTCAAGGGGAAAGGTGTAGATGAATAAAGAGGAAAAGAGTGGGAGAATGCAGTCAAGAATTCAATGTATATCTTACAAAATTAAGAGCAAGGAATGGGATGGGTAGGAGAGGGATGAGTAAGAATATTGAAAGAGATGACATTGATTATGATGCATTATATTTGTAAACTGCTGTATGAATATTAAATTTATAAGTGGAAAACTAAAGATAATAAAAAGAGGTATAATAAACAAAAGCAATGGATAATAATAAAAAGAGGCACTAAAACAAAAAAAATCTATTGGAACCTGGTAATAATACTGTTGATGCATTTCTTAAAGTAACAAATTACTCTTTAGGATCATAATGGTAATAAAGAATACTTTATGCCTCATTGAAAATAACAGAATATCAAGTAAATGTGTTAAATTCATCTTAGAACAAATAATAGTAAAAAATATTCATTTAGTTGACAATTTATTTAAAAGTCACTAATAGAGAAGTTACAATCTTTTTCAGTTCCTAGCAATCACACTACAATGCTCTTTCTTCATAATGTTTAATTTTGCTCCCTGAAGCAGAAGTGAAAATACAGGCTAAAACAAAATATGCTTATTTTCAATATCATATGCATTTACTATTTTAAACTAGACCAAAGGAAAATAGATTTAAATACATCTTGCCTATTTCAATGAATACTTGTTTAGTAAAAGCTATATATGGATTAAGTAAATAGTTTAAGTTTTAGGAGAGAAGTACATAAGCCAATGCCCATGGCTCCTGTCTGTAATCTTAGCTGTTGAAGGATAAGAATGGGAGCATTGAGACTCAAGGCTAACTAGGGTAGAAAAAGTTTGTGAGAACCCTTCTCAACTCATCACAAGTTTGGCTATTGCTTTAGGTGCCGATCTTCTTCAACTACATAGGAGGCTGAGATTGAGAAGATAAAGTGCTCCTGTAATGCCAGCAATAGAAAACCTAAAAGTAAGTAGATTGCAACTCAGGTGTGTTTGCCCCAGTGAAAAGCAAGACTCTTTCTTTAAAATAACCATGGAGCTGGGTGCTGATGGCTAAACCCTCTAATCTTACCTATTTAGGAGACTGAAATTTGAAAATCACAGTTCAAAGCCAGCCAAGGCAGGAAAGTCTGTGAGATTCTTTTTTTTTTTGGGGGGGGTGGGAGGGGTTCCGGTCGTGAGGCCTGAACTCTGGGCCTGGGTGCTGTCCCTCAGCTCTTCAGCTCAAAGCTAGTGCTCTACCACTTGATCCATAGTGCCACTTCTGGCTTTTTTTCTTTTTGCTTATGTGGTGCTGAAGAATCGAACCCAGGGCCTCATGCATGCAAGGCAATCGCTCTACCACTGAACCACCTTCCCAGCCCCTCGTGAGACTCTTATCTCCAATTAACAACCTAAAAACTGAAAGTGGAGCTGTGGCACAAAGTGGTAGAGCAAAAAAAATCAGGGACAGTGGCCAAGGTTTGAATTCAAGCCCCATGACTGACGAAAAAGAAAGAGGGAGAGAGAGAGAGAGAGAGAGAGAGAGAGAGACTGAGAGGAAGGAAGGAAGAAGGGAAGGAAGGAGGGAGGGAGGGAGGGACAGAGGGAGGGAGGGAAAGAAGGAAGACATACAGGTTGGAGGGGTGGTACAACTGTACTATGCTAGCTTAGCAAACTAGTATAATACACATTATATATGTACATAGCATAGTACATGTCAATATATATATATATATATACATACATATATAAAACGTTTTATAATTCAGAGTAACAAAAAGCCTGTGTTTTAAGAGCTAAGCAATTTGCCAGGTGCTGGTGGCTCACACCTGTAAACCTAGCTACTCAGGAAGCTGAGATCTGAGGATCATGGTTCAAAGCCAGCCCAGAGTCTGTGAGACTCTTATCTCTGATAAACCACTAGAAAACCAGAAGTGGCACTGTGGATCAAACGGTAAACTGTTCTCCTTGAACTGAAGAGCACAGGGACAGCACCCAGGCCCAGAGTTCAATCCCCACAACAAACAACAACAACAACAAAGCTAAGCAATTTAAATATGAAGAAAATGTAGCTACTAGAAAGTTTTATATACATCTAATAACTGGATTTTCTAGCCATGTTATTTTTAAACTGAATCCCTATGTATGAAGCTGATCAGAACGGCATTCTACTCTTTTTACTTGAGGCTTAAGAACAAGTTATTCAGTTCCAGGACCTACTGTACTTCTTTCCTAGATAAATATTGAAAGTGCCCATTTTGGTGCTTTTACCTGTTCTACTGTTTTTTTCTGTATTAACAATATTTGTTTAAATATGCATGGTGTATGCATTACTCTAATACATTTGGCGGCACTGTTCTTATTGGCTGCATTGTCCTTGGAACAAATATGAAGGTAGTTCAACCATTCAGTTATGAAACAGACAGGTCTTGTGACCTCATGAGTAATGTTGATTATGGACACTGCATTTCACTATAGCAATCATTCCACAATGTATTCATGTATATAATATGGGCTCTCTGAACATCCTTACTAGTCAAATATATTTAAATGATAAAAGGACAGATCTTATTATCATGTAGAAGCTGTAGGCAATAATGAAAACCCTATCTACAAGAGGTAGGAGAATCAGATTTCAAGTTTTAGCTCATTGGTCAAGAAGTATGTCTGTCATTGAAGGACAGAGGTAAAGTACAGGCCAGCTTCATTATGATGGTGGTGCCCTAGCTTGACAAGCCCACATAGAACTACAAGATACGCTATGGAGACCTGTACCTGAGAAAAACCTGAGTAAGGTTTATCAGCCAAAAACATCATTAACAAGTGTAGACAATTTCAATTCTGTCTTATATTTGGGGAATACAATTGATGAGGCTGGAGAACTTGTTTATGATAAAAAAACATTTCCATTTATTGGCTTAAGAATGAGGGCCAGATTTAAAGATCATAATTTTTCTTATTTCTAGAAACAGGTAGGTAGGCATATGTGTACTCAAATTTACAATCCTTTGTTAGTGAGCAATAAATGAGTTTCCAGAATTAGTTAGATAGACATGGTCATCAGTGCTTCAACCTTCCAAAATTAGATCAGACCGCAACATATCTGTTGATAGAACTTATACTTGGGTTCAGAGAAAATAGATGTTCAGATTATTACAATTACAAATCTAATGTTATATAATAGAGGAATACAGAAATATGATTTTACCGAATGGACTAATCATAGCAGTGGAACTAGGGGGAATGAGAGAATTGTTTAAAGTTTGAAAAATACATGAGAATTTACTGGGAGGATTATAGAGTTTGGACTTCCAGGTGTATAAATTGAGGAAATAGAGGAAAAAGATCCTAGTAGTGTGTCAAAGAACAGCTATTTTAAAGAACTGAAGACATTCAGAATATGGACCAAGACATTTTAAGACAAGAAAACATTTATGAAGACATACCAACACACAAGGCTTGCAGAATTAATTTCAGATTAGGTAAAATTCAGACATTGATTATTGAACTACGAAAGATAACCCTCACTCTATTTTCTACTGATATTCCAAAGAGCTGTGCTTCTTTAAGTATTTGAAGACAATGAAACACACAGGCAAAAATATAAACATTTAAACTACCTAATTTATTTTAAAGTTGTTTATTAAAAATAACAACTATAGCCAGGCACCAGCTACTCAGGAAGTTGAGATCTGAGGATCATGGTTCAAAGCCAGCCAAGGTAGGAAAGTCTGTGAGACTCTTGTCTCCAATAAGCCACTCAGAAAACCAGAAGTGGCACTGTGGCTCAAGTGGTAGAGTACTAGCCTTGAACTGAAGAACTGAGGGACAGCACCCAGTGTTCAAACTCCAATACTGAAAAATAAACAAAAAAAACCCTATAACTACAATAGATAAAATTTATAACAAAGAACTCAAAATGGATACACAAATGATTTTAAACAAAATGTAATAGAGAGACTGAATTTCTACACTTTAAGGCAAAAGCATCTTTGGGTAAAAAGAGAGAAAGAGAGAGATAACAAGAGGGGATGGAATAAAGAAAGAAGAGAAGAATGAATAGTTATAGTTATTATAGTTTAAAAATGATCTAGATAACATAAAATGTACAAGGAAATAAAAATTTTCAAACTCAATTGAATTAAAATAGCAATCATATCAAGTAAAATATTTTTATGAGACATCCCTAAAGTCTGAGCATTTATGAAAAATAATCATTAATTTTTAAGAAATCACTAATTTTGATTGTACTTTGTGTAGCTCAAGATGGAAGTACTGCTTATAAAACCCACAAAACTAATATTTATACCTGATAAATGTAGAGGAACAGAAGAAGTTATAGCATGGTCTTATTGATAAGCCAAACTAAATAAAATATAGCAAAATTAACCAGAATATTAAAAGTATATATATAGATAGATAGATAGATAGATAGATAGATAGATAGATAGATGTGTGTGTGTGTGTGTGTGTGTGTGTGTGTGTGTGTATTCTCCTGGAGTAAAAGAATAACTTTGTAGATACACAAAGAATTTATCTAAAATATCACAATAGTTTGTCAAATGAGAAACCATCAACATAAACGAATGTGAAAAAAAATGCCTAATTTCTCATTAAGTGCAATGCATAGTGATAAGGGAACTAAAGAAACACTTTTTTTTTCTTGTCAGTTGTAGGGTCTGAACT